TATATATATATATATTAGTGTGTATAAAAGTTAAATTAAAACTTTTTTTAGTTTAAAAACCTGATTAATTTTTTTAATAAATTCAAAAAAATATTTGACGTATTAAACCATGAATTTATTTTAGATTTGTCCTTAATTTCTCTTGTATGTTTCTAAAATATGAAGTTTATGTGTAATTTTTTGCATACCTTTTAGAAAGGCATTAAATTATTAGCCATGCCGGTCTAAAGAATGAAAATAGAAATATATACTCCCATCGATAAAATAGGTTTTTAAAATATGAAGTTTATGTTTAACCTTTTTTTAAGTCTAAAGTAGGTTTTGTCCCATGATAATTTAATGATAAACATCATAACTTTTTTAGAATATCAATAAAATGAAATAATTACTTATATTTGTATATATGATTATATCATAATTGTCTTGTATTAAAGAAATAAAGGAGAAAGTATATTTTTTTAATTTGTTATAATTTGTTTAATAAATGTCATAATCATATAAGAACTAAATAATATTTAAAAAGTACAAGAATTTAATCGAAAACTTCATACCATCACCAAAAGTGGATCAAGTATAAACTAGAAAAAATAATGTAATTAGCAGAGGAGGCACTGAATTAAAGGTAGAAAAGAAGAAGAAAAAACTTCGGTTGTCAAGACACAAGGTCAATGGACGTATTCCAGGCTCTATAATATGTTTCCGTTGTCAAAAGACCCTGGCTCAATGGCTTAGCCTTGAGAATGAACGATAAAAAATGAGGGGATGCTAAGAGAAACGCGCACCAAGATCCTTATCCACTTTACCTTCTTGGCATCTCTTGAGAAGGTGTAACTGTCGTCTCAAGTGCAAAACCTGAAATCAAAGTTGATTATCATAAGTCGAAGTTCAAGAATGAAGATGGAGTAGAATAGCATAATTAAGTGCTGCTATTCAATTCATTTTTGGAAAATAAGCATAATTGCACTTCTTCCCACCATGTTACATGGTTCACAATTTTACAAATTTTGTAATTCAACTTTTTGAATTACACATTTTGTTATTTCATTAGTTAATCATCTATCGTCGTTGACGTAACATATTAACAGTTAACATAACATATTAACTATTAATATAACATAATAATTATATTAATTATTGATATGACACAAATGTTATACCATCATTTGTATGTTACATCAATATGATATGTCAACAATCAAAATAACGTGTCAACGATATCATGTAACAATTAACTAATAATGTCAAGCAGTTGATTACGAGATTGTTAATATGGGCAAATTTTCAAAAAGTTGGTGACAAATATGTAATTTCAAATATTAGGTGACAAAATTTGTAAACTCAAAACATGGATGGCAAAAAATACAATTAAGCAAAAAAATAAATAAATAACAAATGAGATAACTACCTCTTCCTGAAGCAAAGTAGGAAGATTATCAATTGGAACCAGATCACGTATTTTGGCCAAAAGTTGCTCATCTATGATGCCGTCCCATGTTGTAGATGGTAAGGACAGTAGAAGCACGGTTAGAACATCAGTGCCGGCAGGGTGCATGCTAATGTTCTTATTTGGATTAGAGCAACTGTAGCGTAATTTCCCAGATGATGAAGAAATCAACACATCAACCCCATGCTCGGAGTTACCATCTACTACAGTCCCAGAAACCGTTGTTATTGGCTTGTCATCTTCAGCTTTTAAGCTTCTCATATGTGTTTCTCGGCAGCAATAACCTACTGACGAGTCTGGTTTCCCACCTAAAATTTTTGGTCCTTGACAACAAACACTTGCAGGTAACGTGTTTCCATTAACTGAAGCTGTTGTTTGTCTGTTGTAAGAATTTGACAAATACGAATTTACATATTTGAAAAGCTCAGTCCCCTGTAACTGTTTCAATACCTCTTCCTACACAACAAAAAGTTACCACATGAGACTACAAAGTAAAATGAATACAGAAAAAGTCGATGCCCCAATGATATATAACACCAATGTATGATAACCTTATTAACTTATCACAATGTATGATAACCTTATTAACTTTTACAATAATGATCTTAAAAATCATACCAATGTAACATGCTATTAGTTGACAATGTAAAAGATTTTATACAATCTAAATGAATAAGTCACAATAGAGTATACAATTCAAGAGAGAAGTATGACATAGTGAAATTAAACATATTACACTTGGACCACCATCCTCTTGTCTCCTGATCTCTACGACCCATTTGATGAATTCTTCAAAATTAGATGGAAGTGATGTGACTATTATTGAAAGAATCTGATGAATGTCTTTCATATCCTCTGATTTTAATAGAATTGGAATATCGTCTAGCAGAAACTTTACAATTTTAAACCAATTTCTGTGTTTGCAGCTCTGCAAGATACATCCAACACACCAATATAAAATACAAATGACACACAATGCACATACAAAGACATCTTATATTTACATAATTTCAGAGTAAAAAAGATACAAGTTACAAATATACGTACAAATGACACAATGCACATACAAAGACATCTTATATTTACATAATTTCAGAGTAAAAAAAATACAAGTTACAAACATACATACAGCATAGAGCAAATTGACTTTCCAACCTTCTGTAAGAAGGTTTATCACGTAAAGCATATCGAATTAAAGTATTAAACCTTAATCAACTATTGTTTAATCCTTATTAGCATAAGAATTCAATTGACACTAAAACAATTTCACAACATAAAAGTATCTAAAACAAATATAGAAATAAAGAAATCACGTGACAATACATAACAACATTTCATTATTTAATAGAAAGAAAAATACCAGAGTATAAAGTTCCCTATGAGGCCTTGATATAAGCATGAACCTGAAGAGGATAAAAAATTGAGTAAAGCAAATATCATTTAAACCATGTAAGAAAAAGTGCTACTGTTAAGTTTTTTTATAGTTTCACTTGAGCAAATTTGTAGTTGTTGATCTAAATCTCTCATTCTAAAGACTAGAACCAAAATTAATAGATATCATAATCATTAAAAAATAGTATAAAATATAAACAAGAAAGTTTACCCCCTAGTTAGTCTAGTAGTGTCAACAACATAATTCATGCCCTCCCAGAGAACTTCAAGTGGGACCCAATGGGGAGGATACTTAAAACGTGCAACATCCAAAATAAGTACCATATCCTTTTCAGGGTGATATCCTCCAATAGGAGAAAAGTGACCACCTCCGGTCTGTCAAGAAAATAAGAAATCATAATTTCCTATTATGTCAAAAGTTCTACAAACCCTAATACATACTTGTTTGATAGCGGCTCTGTGGTATGATGCGATGACATGACAATCCTCAGAACGTGAACACTCAATGACATACTTACGAAATTCTTCAATAGTGCTACTACTTGCACGAAAGGCTTCAACTTTTGCCCCAGCACAATGAGCCAAACACACAAGTTTTCTAAAACTGATGCCTTTAACTTTGGCCGTCTCTAAAGGTTCCCAACAACCCAACATTGATTCATCAAACCATCTCCAAGGCCCTACATATTGGAGAATAAAAATAGACAGCAGCCCTGTAGGTTATTTTCTGCTTTCTATTAGTTAGTTCTGTTAGTTTCCTTCATTGCATATATATATAGGAGGGTAGAGACTTGTATTAAGTATAACATGTGAATGATGTATAATGAGTGTAAATTGTACCTTTCCATTTCCTACCAGGATCAATGGCAAGGGCATTGAGAACCATGGACAAGGTAGTGAGGCCGCAGAAGGCGAGTTCAGACTGTGTTTGGTAATAGGAAATCAACTTGAAGAAGCCTTGCATGGTTCCATTCTGAATGGCTTCCAAGAAAAGTTGCTGAAATCAAAAATTGGGTAAATATAAAATCACATAATTGCAGACTCTATCTAATTTATTATCATGATTTATGTCATTGTTATCTATTTCCATTGACACCTTTCCTTTTGAGGATGCGAATTCTACTGCGGGGGGAGAAGGGAGAAGGCGTCGATAGAACCCCGCTTTCGCCATTCACTCAAAACAAAACCCTTTCCAAAACCTAACTCAAGGCTTTCTACGTCCACCAGGTCAAAATTTCCCAGCTTTATCGAAGGATCCACTCAAATCCAGCGAGATTTTCCAATCTACTCGTCCTATTAGCCGTGAGAGGGGAATATGGAACAAATCCAGAATAAGGGGCAAATAAAAAAGGTACAAAATTTACAAAATTTCTAACACCCTCCACAATGAAGCTGAAACCTTTTTCTTATTCAGAACAAACATAACCCTCTCCAGCTACATTACTTTCCAACAAATACCTAAAATCGATCACTCCAGAGCACGGATTGAAACCCTAATTTGCAGAGAAGATGAGCGCATTGACCCAGAACAGAAAATGCTAATGGGTACCAGCAACAACACACAAAACTGAATCTTTTTATTATAATTAAAAAACTAAAAGAGAAAGAACAAGAGGAGGAGATTGAGGAGGGTGTGCTGAACCAGGAAAACTGAATCTTTTTTATTATAATTATAAAAACAATAAGAGAAAGAACAAAAAAGTATGGACTTTGGAGAAAAAGGAAAAGCTGGCAGAAGGGGTGAGCATTAAACCGACACTCGAACCGAACCCGAAAAATCCGATAAAAAATATTGTTTTTGGGTGGGTTCGGGTGGGTCTTATGGGTAAATCGGGTTAAAATTTTGATTTTATACGAGTTATATTGGGCGGGTTCGGTTTTGAATTTTTAAACCCGCCAAAAACCGAATCCAACCGAAAATGAGATAAGTTTAAATTTTTATTACTTTTGTATAACTAAACAACAATGGTCCAAACTTAAAAGTCTTTATTTCAAGTATAATATAGCCATCAATTTGTAACTTATTTTTTTTCTTTTTTCTCATAACTTAGATATTTATTTTGTCTTCTTCTTCCTCATTCAACTTCTCAACACACTAGTCCATTTTTAGAGTTATCTTTTTGCTTCTTTCTTTGTCTTTCTTTTCCATCTTCTTATCTCCATTTTGAGTACATTTTGTGTGGACTATGATTTCTTATGATTTTGTAATCTAACTTTATATTTCTTTTCCATGTAACAACTATGAATTTTGTTATCTTTTATTTTTGCTTCTTTAGTTTGTAAATGTTTCAACTACGAATCTACTTACACCATCTATTGTCACCTTCATTATATTTTTATACACTATTTTAAAAATATTTTTTATCGTTTTAAGCTTCATCTTCCTTAAGATAAATTGGTTTACAAAAAAATTCAAACCCGATTATACCCACCCGCTTAAATCCGAATCCGTTTCAACCCGAACCGCCTCAAATCGAAAGCTCAGTCGGTCGGATATGGGTCACATTTTTTCAAAGTCGGTTTACAATGGGTTAGACATTTTTCAACCAAACCCGACCAAACCCACCCGTTGCTCACCCCTAGCTGGCAGGAGATTATAACAAGAGAAATGCTTCGGCCTCCGAAACGAATAACGAATTATCCTCTGAATTGTAAAAAAATTGATAGCTGTTAATTTTTAATTGAAATATTAATTTAATTTAAATTTGTTAAAGGTATTTTTTTTGGAGGATAATTCGGCTAATTATTTCGGAAGCTAAAATATTGCTCAGTAAGACAAATGCTTTAGCTTCCAAGATAAATAACCGAATTATCTTCCAGTGAAAAAATTGACAGCTGTTAATTTTTTAATTTAAATATTAATTTAATTTAAAATTTGTGAAAAATAATTTTTTCCAGAGAATAATTCGGCTAATTATTTGGGAAGCTGAAGCATTGCTCTTATATTAATCGTTGGAGTGTTTTGGGGTTCTATTTAAAAACTAATTTTTTAGTTAAATTTAAAAAATATTTGACGTATTAAACCATTATTTATTTAAATTTGTCCTTAATTTCTCTTGTATGTTTTTAAAATATGAAGTTTGTGAGATCCCAGTTCCATTTTTTCTTTTCTTTCCCAACTCTCTTCTCACTCACTCAAGAACTCTCTTCTTCCTTCTCTCTGAACCATTTGAGTTTCTCTGATCTTCGTGGTTGTGGTGCTTGCTTAGGTGATGATTCTTAGGGGTGGACTTGCTGTGGTGCGGGCATTCCTTTCTTCTCTTCCCCGTTCAAGCTCATTTCCATCTTCTTCTCCGTTTCTCTTCCCCGGAAGCTCGGATTCTTGTACCGAGGTAAAGAAAGTTAGTTTTTGCTGCGTTTTGGCTGAAAACGAGTTCTAGGAACTCCTTGATTGTTTGATGTTTGATAATTTTGAGCTGAGATTGAAGGACATGGGGTTTTGGGTTTCCGGGGTTTGATGAAAATCTTGGGGTTTTTATTGAGAGTGGTTGCATGTGGGAAAAGATGAGATTTTTGGATTGTTTGATGAAAATGTGATGTTTTGGACCGATTGCATGTGTTTGGGAAGCTGATTTTGTGCAGATTTTGAAGAAATTTTCGAACTTGGTGAGTTGCTGTTGGGTATCACGCCGGGCGCAGTTCATCGCGCCGGGCGCGTGATCATCAAAGGGCTTTATTGGGCAAGCACGCTGGGCGCAGTGGTGTATGTGCCGGGCGAGCTTGAGAATGTGAGCCTCTAGATGGCCCACGCCAGGTGTGGTGAGAGGGCGCTGGGCGCGATATCATTAGGTGACTTATGCTTTGTGGTTCTGGTTTGGCGCCGGGCGTGACTTTGTCTCGCCGGGCGTAGAGACTCCTTGGGAGTCTCTGCCAGAGGTGGCGCTGAGCGCAATTTATATTGCGTCGGGCGTGAGACCCTGGGGAGGTCTCTGCTTACCTTGCGCCGAGCACGGGTTTGTACGCCGGGCTTATGAGACCTTGTGAGGTCTCTTCCTCCTATCACATCGGGCCCAATAGAATTTGCGCCGGGCGCGATGACCCCTAGTGTTCTCTAGTTGTGCCACGCCATGCGCGATCATGAGTGCGCCGGGCGCGGATAAGATGATGTCTTCCATACGACTCAAAATAAACTTAAATCTCACATGCATCCAACCTATGCATCAAAATCATCAAAATCCTCCTTTTTCTCAAAACCCCAAAAAAATGAGATTTTCTTCAATCCATCTATGGATTATCGACATTCATGCATCAATTGAGTTTCTAAACTCACATGCAACCTAAACAACAAATATTCTATCTTCCCTCACCTGAAGATTGACTCAAAATAGCCAATAACTGAGAAGAAGTAAAATTCCCTTCCGAAGCTCAACCCGGAACTTCAATCCTCCCAAAGTAAGCTTCCTAATCTGAATTTCAAGAAAAGACATAAGGCATTAGTGATCTAGGGGAGAAAATGAATCATACAGAGAAATTTGGGAGAGAAAGGAGCTCACAGACCCAAAGTCCTTATCTCTAAAACTTCTCTCTAAAAATCTCATTTTCTCCTCAACCACAAACCCCTATTTATAGAAGTTCCGGAGTGGCCAGAACAGCTTGTTCTGTATCCGGAACGGCCCGTTCTACACTCCCTCAACACGTACAAAAATCACGTGCAGAACGATCCGTTTTGGGACTCATCCAGAACGACCTGTTCTCCATACAGAACGACTCGTACTCCCTCCGGAACGACCC